CCTCTGAAAAGCCAGCGGAGCGAGGCTCACGGGAGACGTGACCTCACCCCCTCCTGCGTCCGACGCTGGCACCCGCCCGGGCTCAGGGACCCGGGCCAAGAGCCTCGGCCCCAGAGGGAGGGAGAGGGAGCGAGGGAGTGAGGGGAGGCGGCGGGGAGGAGAGGGAGCCCGCCTGCCCGAGGCGCAGAGACGCGCTCCTCGACCACACACCCGGAGACCCTCGACGGACGCGCAGGCTGGGTGTGAGAAGTCCCAACACAAAGGAGTTTCAGAGAAGTAGGGAGCAAAGCGCCTTTGAATTGCCAACTGGCCAGCCCCCCTGGCCTAAGACAGGAGCCTGTTTTTCTGTGGGGTTTTTTCAGCAGCTGAACTTGACTACATTTAAACAGCACAAGAGGCCACTCAACCCCATCCAGTTGGCAACACAGTTACTACATCTAGACTCCAGCAGTTTATTGTCTGGATCCTGAGACGTTTAAGTTGCTTGCCCTGACCCAGTCCCTTCCACTCAGACCTTGAACATTGAGCCCCAGTAATTCCCCCTCCCCCCAGGTGGTCAGGGAACAAGGTGCCCAGCTCAGGGCCCAACTCTTTCTACGTTGCCCAGGGACCTCCGCAGACTGGAGTCCAGTATAGCGGGGCAGTGGGTGCCGCCCTCCGCTTTTTGCCAAGTGTGGGAACCAGGAATCCTCCTCTCCACCCTTCCAGCTGCAGGGCCCCTGGAGAGAGAGGCAGGTAGCTCTGGCTGGTGGGGCCAGCCCAGGTGCGTAACTGGGCTGGGAGAAGAGAAAGGGATCCACGGCCAAGACAGCAATTCATGCAAGTGGGGTAGGGACTGGAACTGAGTCTTTGGACCCAGACAGAGCTGGGAAATTGTCACATCTGAGTTGAATGACCTCAGGAAAGTCCCTTGTCCGTCCTGAGCTCCAATTTCTTCATATGTAAAAAGGGGACTAATAAGAGTCTTGGCCCTGTAGGGACCTTGTGAAGACTGTGAGATTGCATCTCAAATCAGGTAAATCTAAGTGCTCAATAAAGCTTGCCTATTAGGACACTTCCCCGTAAATATAGGTATTAGTACTTGAGATGCAATAGCCACCTTGCAGACATTTCACCAAAAATCCAGATATGCTGCGTTGGCCGGGCCACAGAGAAACGCAAACAGTTTTATTATGCACAGTCTCAAAAATAGATGCTCACATCGAGCGCATTAATCATCTGCTTGGCTTTCTCAGGAGATGAGCGGATTGTCTGGGATGCCTCACTTGTCCTATGGGGCCATGTTTAGTTAGTTATCTGCCTCCTCCACTGGACTGCAACTCCCTGAGAGAGCGGACAGCTTTGCTGTCTTTGTGTCACCACCTGGCACATTGCCTGGGACAAAGTATGTGCATAGGATAGCTTGCTGGGTGACCACATAAGGATGAAACAGTACCTTCTCCACTATGCCATCTCCCCCATTTTGGTTGGTTAATCAAGTGGGAATAAACCAAAGAATTAGATTCATCTATTGAGTTCTCAACCAAGCCTTTGTATTGGCTGTTCCCTCTGCCTGGAATGCTGTTCCCTCCAGACTGTCACATGGCTGCTGCTCCCTATTTCTCAGCTGTCAGCTCAAATGTCACTTCCTCAGAGAGAGAGATCTTCTCTTTAGATATATCTAGTGTAGCTCCCCATAATTATTCTATATTTTCCCAGCTTCTTTGTGTGTGGCATGTATCACTATGGAACTTTGTTTATTTGTTCACTGGCTGTGAGTCAGTGAGTTCTGTAACCTTTTCAGAGATGTATCTCTAGCACTTAGAATTGTCCTGGTACAAGGTAGGAATGCAAGAAATAGTTCTTGGATGGATGGATCAGAATTACCTGGGAGTATGGAAGAAATGATTTCCACATCTTGACCAAGACCTGTTTGAATTATAGCTTTGAATTATAGCTTTGAATTATAGTACCCCAGAAATCTGTAGTTTTAATTCCTGAGAAGTCAGTAGTTTTAGAACACTCCCCAGTGGTTCTGACGCAACTGAGCATATTCTCAAATCCCAAACTGTCTGTGGTTCTTAGGACATAGCTTTGGATCTTTAGTTTGGAGATCCCTTCTGGCGCCTCATGTTCAGCATGTCAGAGGTGAAAGTGTCTTCTCCAGAGACCTGCTTCTCAAGGCTTGGTCCTTGGCGACTGGGTCCTGCCCGTTTTTTTACAACCGTGTCTCCCGTCCATCATTGTCGAATCAATAAACGGTGCATTTAGTCCCCAGCTTAGGAGGTTGGAGGCATGATTCTTCCCTTTCCTTGGGCCTCTACTTGAAGGATCCATCATACCCTGTTCATTGCGCCTCAGCATGACGCCTCGCTCCATCCCTTCTCTCTGTTCCCCACGGCCTGTGTTCCTATTGCCGATCTTGTCAACAGTGAAAAAGCTCAATGGGTGCTGTCGATGAGTCTTATTTGGAACCTGAGGCGGGTGAATTGGGTTGGCTAAGCCCAAGGCTTGGGTACCAAATGGAGTTTTGCTATTTTAAAATCACCAACTATATCATATTGTCTACTCCAAACCACTGTGTCATCCGGGAAATAAAAAGAATGGATTGACTCCACAAAGCCCATGTTCTCTGCCAGGAAAACACCTACTCAGTACCAGTCCAACAATCCAGAATCACCAAACATTTATTGATTACTTACTGTGTGCACTCAATGCATTATTTCCTAGATGCATCATCTCATTTAATTCCTACAGTACCCTTTGTGAGGAAGGTGGAGATATTTCCTTTTTACAGATGAGGAAACCTAGGATCAGAGAGGCGAAGGGTCTTCTATAAGGTATTTTACACAAGAAAAGTGGAGGTGCCAGGATCTGAACCAGGTCTAAGCTGCTCGTTCAGCTAGCAGGTCCAGTCAAGAGAGCTAGATGGACATCTCTGAAGTTTGCTGGAGATATTATATCCTGCCCAGGGAAGATGGATTAATAGCTTGTTGACTGGTCTAAAAAGTAGCAGAGAAATCGTAATCACTTGAAACATTTACAATTAAATGGGAAAGAAAGTGCCCCCACCAGAAAGTGTAATACATATGGCGCTGGTTCTTGAGGGATGCATTAGGCCACTCAGTAGGGGCTTGCAGCTCCAATTTCCCGAGCTTCACTCGTTTTCTCTTGAGAGGTCAGTTTATTGCTCTTGAAAGAACCCTACTGGCTGATTGCTTTCATAATGGGCCAATACCTTCCCCCTTGAAAGTGAGAAGAGAAAGTGACTTCCTAATGGCCAGTCTAGGAGAGGCAAAGACTTACTGGAGCTTTCTGGGTCCTGATGTAGCAACGAACCTTTTTTAACCTTTGAAAAAAGTTTTATTTCCAAATGGAAAAGTAATACATACTCATTGAGCCGTTTATGCTTGGAAGAAGAGCATAAATAAGGAGAGATATCACCTGTATTCCACCATCCGATGGTAATCGCTATAAAAAATAAGGGGTTACTTTCTTTCTGTCCTTTCTATGTGTGTCTACTTTTCTTCAACACAATGAGGTTCTGTACAGTTTTGTTTCCTGCTTTTATCACTCAGTGTTATATGACTATTAATATATTTTTTTGCAGATGTTCTCATGGTCTGCATAATTTCCCGTTGACTAGATGGGTTGTTATTTATATAACCATTCCCTGATCGTTAGGTATTTAGGTGGTTTCTAGTGTCTTCTGTTGTTGTTGTTATTAAGAAAAAATGCTGCCGTGGACATTTTTTGCGCCCAGTTATCTGTATTTGTGATCATTTCTCTGTGACTCATGATCTTATGGGGTAGATGCCTGCCTTTGAAACGGCAGAGAAAACTCAGACTGGCATTGGCTGGTTGAGAAGTTGTATTATAAGATAGATGCCAAAGGTAATGGAGGCCAAGGGGACAGTCCCAGAATCAATGGGCGACAGGAATGAGATGGATTCGAAGAACAACTTCTCAATGCTGCGTGGATCCCCAAATCTATAATCTTCGATGGGGTGATGTTGGATCTATGAGCCTGTGCTGGAAATCTATGCTTTTCGATCTTAGCTATGTCTAGGATTCCAAAATTGAAGGAGGGAGGGTGGGTGGAAGGGGTGGGGTGGGGGGAATGCTGAGATTCTGCTGATCTGTGAAAATGCAAGAGAAAGATTCCAGATCTTTAGGAATGGTAAAAGATCCAGGGCATCGGCTGCCAAATTTCGCATTAGTCTCAAGTAGCAGCCGTTAGCAGCCATAAAGTAACTGCTATGGTCTCGGGGGTTTGCTACGAAAGAACAGTACCTCTTTGGCTAATATTATTAGCAAACCATTTACCTTTCCAGTTTCCAACAACACTGATCCTCTCACCGGGGGGGGGGAATTTATTTTGAAGTGTAAATTCTGACACATGCTACCACACGGATGAACCTGGAACACATTGTGCTAAGCAAAATAAGCCAGACACAAAAGGGCAAATATTGTNGCACACGGATGAACCTGGAACACATTGTGCTAAGCGAAATAAGCCAGACACAAAAGGGCAAATGTTGTATGAATCAAAGTTATATGGAGTACCTAAAATGGGAAGATCGATAGAAACAAAAAGTAGACTAGAAATTACCAGGTGCTGGGGCGGGTGGGAGAAATGGGGAGTTAACATTGAATGGGTACAGAGTAGAGTTTCTGTTCGGGTTGATGAAGAGTTTTGGAAATAGTGGTGATGGTTATACAACATTGGGAACGTTACCGAGCTGTACACTAAACAACAATCCCATTCTCTTGGTTCAGTCTTTACCCCCTTCGTTTTATAGATGTGTACAGGAAATCAAGAGGGTAAGTGGCTTCCCTAAGGGTACACAGTCCCCATGACCACAGCCCAAGCTCCATAACTCTCATGCCAGTGTTTCCATTTGTCCCTCTTTTACCTCTATTCCTTGCCAGC